CAGAAAGATCAAAAAAGTCAAGATGACAGTCTCAACCATGCAGTGGAAGCAACACCACACAGATATAAAGGGTGAGGGGGCTTTGACCGCACAATTGCCGCCACCATCTCAAATTTTTTGGCCCCTCCCTGCAGACATTCCTTGGTGGTAGATGCAGGCAAAACTATGCCACAAATAGCTGGAGAAAGAGTTAAGAGGAAGCCTACTGCACGATCTTTTTAAAAACCCAGATCTAAGAAGGGAAAGGAATTCACGGTTATTCCCAGTGCCCTATGTGCCGCGCCCCCAAAGCTCCAAGGGGGGAGAGGGCGGTCTGCAACCCGGCCGTCTGGCTGGCGAGAGCGATGAGCTGAGCACAATGCCAGGAGTGGAGCCGTCTTGCACCTGGGCCCTCTTGGTTATGCTGTGATTGGATTGGCAATGCTTCTCCGGGGCGCCCCAAAGGCCGCCCGTTTCACAGTCACATGGATCGGGGGGGGGGGGGGAATCTTTAGACGGGACTGCTTTCCAAAATGACAGCACAACGATAATGATGCCAGTTTACCCCATTCCAGAAAACATAACACTTTCCAATAAAATAAGAACAGCAACACCTGAAATGCTTAATACGGGGGATAAAAAACCAGGCAAACCAGGGACTAAACAGAACAATAACGAAGGGAATGAGTCGGAGACATCTTGGGCGCCCATGCAGAGTGAAAAGCGGCTTGCGACTGAACGGTCCCCGGCTGCCCTCTGGGCTGGCCCGCGCCTTTCCTCGCAGCCCCGGGAAGAGGGGGGAGAGAGGAAGGGGGGGGGGGGAATTAGGGGCCAGAGGGAGAAGCGGGAGAAATGCTTATGGCACCTCATCTCAGAGGTGAAAAGGGTGGAGATTTAGCTTAAACCATGGATTAACGTGCTGGGAGCTGCAGATATAGAATTAAAAAGTGTGCAGATCGTAGCGGAGGGAGAGCTGGGGGGCTGGAGAGGCAGCCACAGCGTGAAGTTGATGCAACGTTTTTCCAGATAATCTGTCCCACTGGAGCATTAAGAAGACCACTCGGGCAGGTGGCAGAAGACAGTCTGAAAAGCCCTGAACGGAAGAAAGAAAGCTGAGCTGGCACATTTTTTGAAAAGGAGAACCAGAACCGTAGGTAAGGACAGGGAACAGGAGTCGGTAAGAGTCTGGGAATGGACTTTCATGTGACTGGAACAGAACCCTGGAAGCCGGTCCAAAGCCCTCTCTCCTTTGGCTTGCTTCTCATCCAGTCAAGGAGGAGCTGTTTTGAGTTTCTCTGACTTTCCCCGGACTCAAATCTCTTCTCTGTAATGGCTCTCCCCGCCTTGCCTGAGTCTAACCGACGTGCTATCGCAAGAACCAACCGGCCCTCTACTCCTGGCTGTAGAAAGAGACCTATCTAGAGTCGTGAGAATGTTGGAAAATAAATAAATGGCTTGGACAAGAGTTAGTGCCTCTCCCCTGCTGCTACACCTGCGCAGCGCAGGACTGATTTCTGAACATTAAGAAGGGCACCCTGCAAATGGAACCAGGGCCTTAACTTGCAGAGCCCAGCCGGGTGGACCCCACCTGTGCTTCAGGTAGTTCTTGGGTTATGACCGTTCGTTCGGCGACCATTAGAAGTTACGATGGTGCTGAACAAATGGTATTTACAAACAGTGCTTGTAGTTCTGGCCTTCGCAGCATCCTCGCAGTCGCATGATCGTGATCTGTATGCTCAGCAACCGGCTTGTGATTATGTCGCAGCGAGCCACGGTCACATGATTGAGAATTCTGACATTCCCTGCCGGCTTCCCACAAGCAAAGTCAGTGGGGAAGCTGGCAGGAAGTCAGAAGTCGTGGTCATGTTGAGGTTCTTGCTTAACGACCCACGTGGTCCTCGCTTAATGACGGCAACCGGGACTGCCGGAATTGCCATTGCTAAGCAATGCAGTCACATGATGTCGCACTTTATGACCGCATCACTTAGCAATGGAAATTCCGGGCCCAACTGTCGTTGTAACCCGAGGACTACCTGTACAACCACAGCTCTAGTAACTTCTCTGCAATGCACTCTTGGTCAAAACCTGTTAAGCCAGTTGCTGCTATTTTAGTGATTGTTGAAGTCCTATAATGATCTCCTTGTTTTTGCACATTCCCCCAAATCTGGGGTCTTTAATAGTGTGGCCTGATGCTCCACTTATAGGTTAAGCTGCAAAAAAGGTGACTGCCATCACAAGAATGGGGGGCAGGCAAGGGAAGGCATCCTCGCCTTTCCATTAGGAATCTCTCCAGCTATTAAGGTCTGCCGGAGAAAACATTTCAAAGACAACCCCCACCCACCCAGATCAGAGGCCTTTACTTCTGGCCCCACGTATCCTGCTGCACCTGGCCCCTGCCACGAATACAGAAAATCTGCAAAAATACAGCTCTTTCGCCATAACTTTAAATGTTAAATTCTTTTACTACATTTTTCGACTGTATTTCAGGGATGTCTGAAGGATGTGACGGCAGCCAAACAGCGCAACTGGAGCCAGGCAGAGTTTTGATCTCACTGTTGTGGCCGCCATCTTGACTTCTTTTTACTACACCCTGGGGACGGCCCTGCCGTACTTTTAACTTTTTGCGTGTTACCGTTTTAAAAAGTTTGTTGCCTTGAGTATGTGCCAGAGTAGAAAGACGTGTGTGCCGAATGAACGTGGGCTGAATAAAAAAGCGAGTGACTGTGATGAAAGAAGGACAGTGAGGTGGTCTGGCCATGGAGAGAGACTGAATGGCGATGGAGCTGCCTGAGAAACGGATGACGGAAGAGCGAAGGGGTCAAGAGGAAGGGAAGATGGACAAGCTGATGAGATCCTCAAAAGAAAGAAATGAGAACTTTTAACGAATGAAAGGCAGTGCGTGAGGAAAAGGTATGGAGGAGCAAAGTGAATAGTGTTGGTGCAAATAAGATTTAACTAGGGTTTTTTTTTTACTTTTTATCTCATGCCTTTTAATTCCTTTGTTTTACTATCTTTCACGTCTTTTCTGCACTTTGCATAAAATTGATTATACCTACCAGGAATAGTGTGATGTGTTTGCATGTATGCAATTAATAAATATTTCAGTAGCGTTCTATTCCTAGTGACACATGCAACAGCTCCACTTCAATGTTTTACTCCTTGAGCCTTCTTTTTCATGATAGCCTCAATGCCTAAGTTACTGGCTAAGAAAATGAGAAGGTCCGACTACCAGCGACCGGAAAAAGCTTAGGGAGGGAAGATGGCCCCCGGTTCTTGCTGCTCTTCCATAATTCCCAGCATCACAAATTCTGCCCTGCTTGTCAACTTCCACCAACTCTTTAATACATTACTGCCCTTGCTGGAAAATAAACTTCCGTTTAAGGAAAACTACAAGCAAAGCTGTGCTTCTAAAGCTGAACTTTTTCAGAGACCCTGGTTGTTGCCAGGACAGGTCAGGCGGGAACATCTTAATTGGAGCCAGAGGGCCAACCTGCAGGGTTTCCCTTCTTATCACTGCTTTTAGCAATCTTTTGGGACCTTGCCACATTTTCCAGAAATCTTGATTAACTGTTTCATCTGGGCTGAAGATTTATTTGGATCAAACTCCCTTTTTAAGCCAAACGCCTTCTCAGAACACCCGGTGGCAAGGGGCGAATCTGCAGGATTATCCAGAAGCCACAGCCTGAAGGACCCCTGTGGTCTGAGGAGAATTCAGACATCCACTGAAATATGAGCCTCATTTGTACAAACCTGTGAACCCTCCCAGCAGAATGGATGGGAGCAGGTTGAACTACCCTGATGTTCTACTGTGGTCCTGATAAAATATAGAGAGAAGTGCTCAAGCAACTTTACCTGACTAGGCTATGAAATTCCTTCCCCAGCAGAACCACCTTTATGTCCTTCCAGGCCAGGGTTCTGGAAAACCTCCAGAGAAGGAATCTACCATAAGCACAGAGCAATTCTTCACCCCATCCCACCTGCTTATCCCAGAACTGGCCATACCCTTGTAGAGGTCAAGAAAGCCCGCAGAGCTTCCTCCATGATCCGAGTGCCCCACTGCCTTGTGAAATGGAGCAAAATATGGCCTACAGAGATTTTCAGAAACAGGATCGATTCTACACAGAGCTCGGAAAAGCGGGGGATGCCAATGAAGGAATGCTGAATGGACTAGTGGGGGGAGTGGGCACCGGACACTCCAGAATGTGCCTTAAATTTGAAAGGGTATCATTTGTGGCAATTCACACTATTTGTATTAATCCACATCATTATGCAAATGATAAAAATATAAAATAATTTAACATATATTTAGAAGCCTTACCTGGATTGCTGTGGATGCAACGGACTGGGGGATTTCTGGGTGGAAAGGGGATCTATGGCATTTGAACTCCATGAAATCAATTCTTCATTATCTCTGAATAAGCAGAGCACATTTTCTAGGGGCAGTGAATTGATGGGCAAGTAGCTTCCTCTTGGATTATCACACAGGGAACATGAAGCTGATTCTCAAACAGGCAATTGTCCAAGAAGGAGGTTCTAAAACTATCAAGCCGTGAGGTATATATGGCAATTATACAGATTAGATTCCTAAACAGAGGCAACAAACAAAGTTGCAGTTTTAATTATTTCCTACCTAAGAACTGTCCTGTTAAATTTCAGAAATCAGCTATAGTTGTTAACTAGAGATGACCAGCCCCTTAATTTTGGTGATGGACAATCGAATTAGCTTACAAAAAAAATAGTTGTAGGATACTCTCATTTAATTTAGAAGTTCAGATCCCCAAAGTTGGAATTTATATAGTTTGATAAGGAGCTGAGTGGTCTTGCCAAGGCTTAGCAGCCACCTTGGCTCTGGGGAACAATGAAAAAGGTTATTCCTAAAGTAGGAAACAATAAAGCTGCAGCACAAGGAGATGAAGTTTGAACTTTGGAGCAAGGGAGACTGAATGTCAGCTGCCTCCTATGCAGTGACAGGGGGACAGCTCTCTGTTCCTTGGAGATGCATCCAGGCCCTGATAGCTCACCTCCTCTGGCATGACTCCTGGTCATGACTTCCATGTTCCTGGCCGGAGAGCTGGAGGTTTTGGAAAGCTTGTTAGCTGACACCCTGTACATGACTCCTCCGATACAGCGCAGGCCTTTGTTCCTCCATCGGTGTTGCACAGCCTGGGACTTGTTCCCTGGTGAGGAGTGGCGGGCAGAGGATGGTATTAGAGACCTGCAAAGAGAAAACCAGATAAGCAAGTGGGACTCATCTCCACAGCCAACAAATTCCACTAGGACCACCTAGCAAAACTTAACAAAGAAGCCGGCATCATTTCACTTGACCATCTCCTCTAAAAACATGCTAGTGTGAAGTGTGATATTCTCCAAACCAGATGCCAAAACAACCAGCACCCGGAAGCCAATTCCTGGAATCAGAAGCATAGCAAAGTTCTACTGGAAAGTAATTCATGTTTCTACAATAAAACTGTTCTGGACACGAACCAAGTCACAGCTCTTTGCTTGCTTTGCATAATCCACTCTCCTTCCAAGTATGCCGATAACACTGGGCCATTTGAGTGATGCCTTAGAGGTACTTTCCCAACCCTGACAAGACTGAGGGTTATGGATTTTAGCTGCCCCCCTCCCCCTGGTAACTAGTGATCTTCCATCGTTTACTCTAGATGGGGTTCCACTGCCCCAGACCAAGTTGGTGCGCAATCTGGGGGTCCTCGCAGACTCTGGCTCTTGCTCAAGGAGCAGATGGCAGCTGTGGCCAGGAAGGCCTTCACACAAATGTGTCTTGGGTGCCAGCTGCACCCATTCCTAGATGGGGAAGCACTGCTGATGGTCACTCATGCTGTAATCACTTCCTGATTGGACCTGTGCAATGTGCACTGCATGTGCTGCCCTGGAAGAGCATCTGGGAGCTTCTGGTCCAGAATACAGTGGCATGTGCAGTATGGGATGCATCAAGGTATACCCCTGCTACGTGAACTGTACGGACTCCCAGTAGGTTTTCAGGTGCAATTCAAGGTTTCACCTTGAAAGCCCTATTTGGCATGGGCCCAGGCTACTTGCTGGGCCGCCTATCCCAGATGGTTCCCACCCATCCCTCTAGATCTGGTAGAGGCGGCATGCTCTAGATCCCCTTGATGAAGCAGTATCACCTGGTGGGCCCTAGGAAATGTGCCTTGTCTGCCATGGCACCTGCCTTAAACAGCCTCTCCCCAAAGTTTATTAACCTGGAAAAGGGGGATCACCGAGGACGCGGGCACTGCTGACTGTTTACCCCTCTTGGCAAGAGTTCTGAGCCTCTTCCCACCTCTCCCAGATCACCCAGTTTCAGAATACGGGCTAAGATGTTTCTATTCTCTCAGCCATTTAAAGCAGAATTATTGCAATGGATGCTATCATCATCAACATTATGCTGGTTAATGGAGACGCTGCGGTCTTTTATTAGCAAATAAAATAAACCTCAAGCGGCAGTTTTCCTAAGGTATTTCTGGACGTTCGTTGATTCAGGGCTGAATGCTGCTAAGGTGCTAAAAACCAAAGCAAAGCAGTGCCCTCCCCAAGTTGTTCCCTTTCTGCTCAGGCTATTCCTTTGATGATGAGGAGGATGCATGGTTGGCATCTGAGATGCCCGAGCTTCGCTAATTTGGCCTTTCCTCCAGACACCTGCCCTCAGTGGTTTCTAAGCATTTCCAAAGGAAAACTTGTTAAAGGGAAGCACCCTGCGCTGGTGGCAACCGTCACTCTTTCTTGCGCAGAACAAGGGCAGGGAGGGGCTTGAATTGTTGGGAGCTATCGGTTAGAGAGATGCCAGTAATGGCAGGAAAGAGACAGATCTCTCAGCATGGCGCAAGCAAGAGTGTCTCCAGCCACTGCTGCAGCCACCCTGTGATGGGACCCACGTGAAAGGGCGTGAAAGGAATGCTGCAGTCATTCTGAAGTAATGCCAGCCACTTATAAGGAGACCACAGCTCTACCATCCTAGTGTTTCCCATAAGACCTCATCGGATGGGACATAGGATGGCGTCAGCCCCACTATGTGGCTCAAACCAAGAAGTCAACTCCACAGGAAGGCTAAACTGCTGTTATTAAGATTGGCTATAGTAACCGAATCTTGCCAGTCCAATCGTACTTTCCTCGCCCACCCCCCACCCCCATACTCCTGTGAATTGGGGTAGTGTCTGCCTGAGCCAGTTTTGCATTCCTTCTGCTTGTTTTGGACTTAAGCCATGTTTTTCTCAGGTTGCTTTGCTAATGGATCTGGACTATCTCTGTCAAGATCATCTTCCTTACTCTCTACAGATGCCATTTGCATCAGAACTTCACAAAAATATGGCAATAAATCTCTCTCAAGAAACTCAACCAGCACCTAGGAGCTACCAGCGGAGGAGTCAAGAACAAGGCTCAGATTAATATTTGGAACATCATAATGAAAAACAAGCTGCGTTGATCTTTCTTGATGCAGAAAAAGCATTTGATAACTTGAACTGGACTTTCCAGTTTAAAATTTTGGAAAATATGGAAATTGGAGAAAATGTTATTAAATGGGTGAAATCAATATATAGCGCACAAGCAGCACAAATTATAGTTAACGGTGAATTGACAAAATCCCGTGAAGTACAAAAAGGGACAAGACAAGGATGCCCACTCTCACCATTCATCATTCTGGCTCTTGAAGTTTTGAACAGCGATATAAGAGAAGATGACAAAATAGCTGGAGTGAAGATCAAAAAAGAAGTACTGTATATAAATTAAGGGCATTTGCGGATTATTTGGTTTTAATTCTGGAAAATCCTATAGAAGGAATAGACATATTAATGGAAAAGTTAAAGGAATTTGGTGCATTAGCTGGATTTAAAATTAATAAGGAGAAAATGAAGATTTTAACAAAAATATGAGGATGGAAGATCAAAAAGGACTGCAAAAATTGGTTTTCAGATTGAGAAAAAAATAAAATACTTGGGCATTAGTATGACTAATATGAATTGTATGTTATTTCAAAATAATTATGTCAAGGCATGGAATGAAATTAAGAAACATTTGTTAAGATGGGAAAAGTTACAATTATCATTGTTTGGAAGAATTTCTGTGGTAAAAATGAACATGTTACCTAGAATGATGTTTTTATTTCAAACAACACCTTTTTGAAAAATGATACAACTTTTAAGCAATGACAAAAAATATATCCAGATTTATATGGCAGGGTAAGAAGCCAAGAGTTAAATATAAAATTCTTCAAGTTGCAAAAGAAAGAGGACTAGGATTGACTGATTTTAAATTGTATTTTGCAGCCTGCTGTTTGGTTTGGATGAAAGACTGGCTTTTGCTGAGAAATAAAAGAATGCTAGAATTAGAAGCACATAACCTGAGGTTTGGTTGCCATGGGTTTTTATGGTACAATAAAGTTAATGTAGATTTTAAAAATCATTACATGAGAAGTGCCATATTAAGGATATGGAATAAATACAAATCCAGGTTGTACATGAAAATTTTGGTCTCAACACAGGAAGCATTTTATAGAAAAGAAACAGCAGGCAAAGAGAAATGGTTAACATATCAAGATCTATTAATACAGGAAGAAGGAGAACTTAAAATGAAGTCAAGAGAACAACTGACTGCAGAGAGATTTAGTTTTCAATGGTTTTCATATGCACCATTAAGGTAAAGATTTAATATACAGTAGATAAAAAGGTAATGGGAACTGAACAATACAAGATGGAATTTGAAAATAAATTGTGTACAAATGATGAGCATGTGATTGCAAAAATGTATAAACATTTGTTGAGAATTGAAACAGAAGAGGAACAAGTTAAGGATTGCATTATAAAGAATTTTGGTTATAATATTCAGATGACTCAATGGGAGAGAACGTGGGTAAATGAATTGAAATTCACATTGTGTTATAATTTAAGAGAGAACTTTTACAAATTGATATACTGTTGGTATATGACACCACAGAAATTATCTAAGATGTATAAAGGTATTTCTAGACAATGCTGGAAATGTGAAAAACATGAAGGGACAGTTTACCATGCATGTTTTTTTTTTTTATCTGCGCTCAGTCGTTACCGACTCTGCAGTGACTGCTTTTGGACGAGTCCTTTGCAGTTTTCA